GTAGGAGTCAGTAACATGAAGGCCACCTGAGTTAACTTCCATCTCCCAGTGTTAATGTCTCTATCTTCATAACGATGCGGCCTGAAGGGGGTGGTCTGCCTTAAAGGGGGTGCTAAAATAATAAAAAAAATAAAATTACCTGCTAGGACTGTTTACAAATTGGGATTCTGAGCTATCATTAGTCTGAGATAAAAGCCTTGGGGAAGGAAGGAAAGATTGAGAGAAAAGAGACTTGATCCAAATTCCATGGCCAATGCCAGGAGTCCTCCTACAAGCAACATCCGTAGCTAAGTGTCCCAGTATGCCCCGTGGCACAGCTACAGACTTCAGACTTGCTGTCCCCACCATCTGCTCAGCCTCAAAGCCCTGGACCTCGTCTGAACTGGAGCCCAACTCTGAGACCGCCCTGGCTGCAATCACCTGCGTGGATTGATGGGCGACTAGAGCAGGTACCAACCTAGATCTAGATCTGCCCAAAGCAAAGCAAGAGGTGGGCAAAATGGCACCAGGTGCCCACAAGAACCTCTCTTGTTCACTGAATGCAAAAACAGAAGGATGCATGTTGGATTCTCTCTCTCTACCCAGGGGAGGATTACTGAACTGCTGGGCATCTGCAAGGAGGTTGTTGCAATCCAATTCATCCTACGTCCAGTGAAGACAAAGCTGGCTGCAGGTGTGTCCTCCAAAGACTTCTGCTTTGATGGTATCCCTGTCAGGGTTTATCGACCCGAAGCACCATTTGCCGGCCCAAGAAAGGGATTCGTTTTCTTCCACGGAGGAGCTGGAATGTTTGGAAGCATCGGTAAGAGGCCAAACTGCTCTTGGCTCATCTCTAAGGTCACAGCTGAAGGATCTGAAGCAGCACTGAAGCCTGTTTTGGGACTTTGGGAAGGTTCCCCCACCCCCCATTTCTGGTTTTCTATTTTATTCTTGGGGAGCTTGAACACTTGTTCTAAACATTTACTGGATTATCATAATACACAAAACAATAAAACTGTAATTTACTAACCACACTAGCAAACCACATGCTTAACCCAAACCAGATCAACTACGCTTTGTCATAGTTAGTTGTGTGAACCCAAACTTAATTTTGAGAGATTATCTTGACCTGGGTTTGGGCACGGAGTAACCAGAACGATCCACTTACCTGCCAGCCTGTCCACCTGCTTTCCTCTGTGCTCCACAGTACTGGTTTGGAATCGAATCCCGAATCAAAAGAGAAAAAAATACAAGGAGGGAGATAGGCAGGTTCTGTAAGTAATGTCGTTACTAGAGCCCTAGGAGTAAGCAGCATACAAATAAAGGTGGTAAATAAGAAATAAATATTGCTTCAGTGAAATTTACCTTGCCCACAGAAGAACTACCATCCTAAATTTGAAAGTTTTAACCAATCAGGAGGATGCTAATTTGGTCTCCTGAGACAGCTTAATTCAGGTGGGATCTCTGAAAAGGCGTTTCTGCTTATAGCACCCTCATGGCCTCTCAGTTCTTGGGGTGCGGGGAAGCAGCTGGGGTCAGAAAAGCAAAATGGGGGATGCAGGTATATGAAGCCCCTCCCCTTTATAAATGTGCATTACACATGTATCGTGCTGCCCATCTTGACTTTTTTGACCTGCCCGCAGATTTCCCCAGGAGACAGGCACGGGAGGAGGGATCCCTGAAATATCCCAGACCTAAACTATTTCAGATTTTAAAGGTTGTCACCCACCGTTGCTGGCAGTCTCTACAAACAAAATGGTGATCTCTGCAATAGCATCAAATATCATGCGATTTATCAGAAAGCTGATAAAATTAACTGAGTTGTAAAACCACGTTCAGAAGAGTATCAGAGAAGACCATGGGTATGTAATTGACAACTGTATATCATCGACTGTTATTTATGGTTCCGAGCCGCCTTGAATCCTTATATCAGATAGGCAGTCCATGTAAATTCTATTAAAAAAGAAAAAAAGAAGTAAATTCAGCCCAAATGTCTCTGTCAGCAAAAATCCAGAAACCAAACCCAAGCCTGGGTCTTCTGGGTCCCTGGGCTCCCAGAATGCCCCAGCCACCCGTGGCTGCTGCAAATGCCCAGAGAACACACGGAGGGACCAGGTTTCGGGAAGGCACAGAACAAAAGCCCCTGTCCCTATCCGTGAAAGACGCCAGTAATTTTTAAAAGGCAGCAACCTGCTTACCATGCTTAGAATCCCTGCTGCTTTCAAACTGCTCAAGGGTTATGGGAATTTCAATGCTGGAACCAAAAAAAGCACCTTCTTCACAAAATGAGATCCTGGTAATTGTGAGTATACTTATTTTTTTATGTTGCTTCATGACGTTAAGAAGGTCTCTCTGTTCTGTCTTTGTCTCCTAGATCTGTACGAGAATGTCTGCAGTAAAATCGCCCAGCGAAGCAATTCAGTTCTTGTGTCCGTCGGGTGAGTGCGCTGAGGCTCTTGCTTTGACAGAAGTCGCTGCATCCTGTGAATGGGCTCAGTTGGGCCAAACATGTTCTTTAGTGCTCTGCGAAGGATTCGCCTGCCACGGGGTGCAGACCCTGGAGCCCTGACTTGGACGAGATCCCTCGTAAGGTCACCAAAGCATGTTACGGACCAGACCATTCCCAACAGTGCAAGAATTTGGGTTCTTCCCCAGAGCAGGGGATTGGACTCTGTAGCCTTGATGGCACTTGGATCCATGCAAGGTTTCAGGATTTTATGATTCTCTGGTCTTGGATTCTCCCCAGGACATCATGGCCTGGAGAAAGAGGAGAGCAGGACCAGGCCTCTGCTGACTTGTATTGGATTCACTTTGGTTGCGGTCTAGCTTATAGGACCCTGGACCTGTGCTCAGGGATTGGCTTCAGCTCTGGTTTAAGTCTCTTCTCGACCAAACTGTCCCGTGTCCTTTTCGTCTCCATGACATAACTTGACCAAATTCATTCCTTCAGTTCTACAGCAGATAACACTCAGACCCAGATGACACCTGGAAAGCAATGTTTTCATTTTTAAAAAATTCAAATGTATACAAAAAATCCATAGGAAGGTGACCACATATAGACACCCCCCACCCCACCCCTAGAAAAAGCCAAAGGCAAGCCACTTCTGCACTGCTGCCAAGTCAAACTACATGGGATTCACCTTACACTAGCTAACTGCTCAATACATCTGCTCATCCACTCTTCTTTTATCCATCCCTAAGTTGTCTTGATGGCTTGTTTCTCTGTTATGGCTCTGCAGCTACCGCTTAGCTCCTGAGCACCCCTTTCCCGCCCAGTGGGAGGACTGCCTTACTGCAACCCTACACTTCATGAAACATGCAGAGGACCACGGGGTGGATCCTTCCCAGATTATCATTGGTGGAGACAGTGCAGGGGGCAATTATGCAACTGTCGTTGCTCAGAAACTCACAGAGCAGCCAGATCTTCCAAAGCTTTGTGCTCAGATGCTGATCTACCCATATCTCCAGGCGATGGACTTCAACCTGCCATCCTATCAACAAAATTCTGCCATGCCACTGCTGCTCCGCCAAAACATGCTTTATTATGCACTCCAATACATAAACAGGGACTCTTCTTTATTGGAAGATGTGGCAAAAGGATCTCACGTGCCATATGAAATGAGGCTGAAGTACGGAAAATGGTTGGATGCAGACAACATCCCAGAGAAATTTAAACGTCGGGGGTACAAGAGAATCCCACTGGCTCCTTTCAAACGTGACATCTATGACCAGTTGGCAATAATTCTCCAACCTTCTTTTTCTCCACTTTTTGCTGAAGATTCTGTCATTCAACAGCTGCCAGAGACTTGCATTGTGAGCTGCGAATATGACATCTTTCGTGATGACTCCCTGCTGTATAAGCAGCTTCTGGAGCAGCACAGCGTGAAAGTCACGTGGTTCCATGCTGAGAAAGGGTTTCATGGAGTGCTTAACATTTTTGACTTTGGCTTTTCAGATGGGTTGGAAATAATGGACAAAACTGTGGAGTTTCTAAAGGGTTTATGAGAGGTTTGGGCCTTGATTCTGGTGGCATGATCAAAAAGAGCCTTTAGTCACACAGAAAAGTAAAACAGAAGTAGATCCTGCTTATTCTAAAAGTTCCTCAATTGAGAATGCTTAATTGTTTTTATTCTGCCAAACGCGGTATCACTTCTGGCAGTTAGCAACATCCCTAACGTCAATATATGCATAAAACTGCCCCCATGGAACAACTTAAAATACTAAAGTCAG